CCATGTATGTGCACATCCCCTCTTCCTTGGATTTCCTGCCCGTTTAGCTCACCCCAGAGCATGGAGTGCAGTTCCCTGGAGAGCCCCACCTCTTAACCGACTCATTTAAAACTTGGTTTCTCCTTTTCCGCCTCCCTCCAACCTCATGGAATCAAAATCATATACTTTATCCTCACTGTTGCCTTTTTGTCAAGTTCCACACCCCTGTCTTATGTGAAAAGCAGTTGCTCAGTTGTGTCCGACTCTTTGCTACCCCATGGACTGTAGCCCGCCACGCTCCTCTGTCCTTGAAATTCTCCAGGCAAGAATGCTGGAGTGGGTAGCTATTCCCTTCTCCAGAGGATCTTCCTGATTCAGTGATCGAACCTGGGTCTCCTGCATTGCAAGTGGATTCTTTTTTTTTTTTTTTGCAAGTGGATTCTTTACTGTCTGAGCCACCAAGGAAAACTTGAACCTCCAGGGAAGCCCTCCCTGTCTCATGTCCGTTATTAATAATGTAACTTTATTTAATATAAAACAAATATTTATTGAATTCTTACTATGAGCCAGGTTCTATTTCCAATGTTTGGGATATATCAGTGTGCAAAATAAATGATGATTTTGCCCTCATAGAAACTATATTCTTGGAGGGGAGAAGAAAGGCAATGAGCAGAAAGTAAGGATAAGAACATGTGATGGGATCTAAAAAGATGGTATTGATGATCCCATATGCAGGGCCACGATGGAGACGCAAACATAGAGAACAGACTGGTGGACACAGTGGGGAAGGAGAGGGTGGGACGAATTGAGAAGCAGCCCTGAGACATGCACATTGCCGTGTGTAAAGCAGAGAGCCAGTGGGAATCTGGTGTACGCTGCAGGGACACACACGCATCATGCATTATACATACATCATACGCCGGTGCTCTGTGACAGACCAGAGGGGTGGGACGGGGAGGGAGATGGGAGGGAAGCTCAAGAGGGAAGGGACGTATGTATACCTGTGGCTGACTCATGTTGATGCATGGCAGAAGCCAACCCAATATTGTAAAAGAAATTACCCTCCAATTAAGAATAAATAAATTAAAAAACATGTGATATGTGCCAGAAGCGGTGAGTACTAGAGACAAAAAGCAAACCCGGGCGAGGCTGCTGGGGGGTTGAGCCTGAGAGCGGTGTGACGTGTGACAGGTGCAGAGGCCCCCTGAGTCCTGGGAAGGGCTCTCTTCGGCTCTAGGCAGGTGCTGATCTGAGCAGACAAGCCGCCCAGAAAAGAGAAGGGGAAGCGTCCGAGGGCAGAAGCCACAGCAGCTGACATGGCCTTTTCTGAAGCCCAGATAAGCACACCAAACTTGTCCATAAAGTCCAAAATATCTGCAATCGATGTGAGGAAAGACAGCTTGCTTTTATAATCATGGCAATCATGAATTAAATAGCTCTGTGCTGGTTCTTAAAATTGGAGGATAGTTACATGCATACAGAGACTATACTCAGACTTATTTTGCTTTTTTTCTCACCCAGATATATCTATCTGTTCAGATGATCTCATTCCCACAAACATATTTTACACTCTTGAAATAACAGCATGTAGGATTTCCACCAAACAGTAGGTTATGTCTTCAAATACAGTGTTCACAGTCATGTTTTTTGTGACAACTTAATATGAGTAGTATTGATGTCCTACAATTTATTAAATGAATCCCTAATATTGAACAGTTAGGATGTTTTTTATTTTCTTATGACTTTAGATGGACATACAGTAGTATAGATGATTTGATTCAGTTAGTCATCCAACATCATGTTTTTGAAAATGTGCACTTTCTTATTGTTCTTTGTTAATTTACTTGGCTATTTATATATGATTTAGAAGGTCATTATTTTGTATGGTTTACTTAAAATTTGTTAAGAGGATAGATCTTGTGTTAACTGTTCTTACCACAATAAAGATTTAAAAAGTGCAGCAAGAGTATTTTTAAAACATAAAGAAAAATTCTAAAGAAATCAACTTTAAAAAGTTTCGATCATATACTTGCCAACTATAGTATCTAATTCACTCAGTTGTATATACAATATAAATGATCTTTACAGATTTATTTTCTATGGGGCCTCCTTGATAAGATATCCACTATCCCATGTTTGTTACAAGGTTATTCACAATAGCCTAGATATGGAAATGACCAAAGCGTCCACTGGGGAATAAGTGGATACAAAAAATGTGCTATATACATATAATGGAATATTGATCAAATTTTAAAAAGTGAAATATTGCTATATGTTGACAACATTGATGAACTTTGAGGATACTATGCTAAGTAAAATAAGCAAGCTACAGAAGAATTAATACTGCATGATTTCACTTATCTGAAGTATCTAAAATAGTCAGATTCATAGAAAAAGAGAGTAGACTCATGGTTTCTGGGGGGCTGGGTACAGGGAGAGACCTCGAGTTGCCATTCAATCAGTATAGATTTCAGTTATGCAGGAAGAATGAGTTCTAAAGAGCTGATTTACATTATGGCTGTAGTTAACAAAACTATATCATGCACTTAAAATTTTGTTAAAAGAGTATACCTCATGCTGTGGTCTTACCACAATTAAGGAAGAGGAAAATGAGAGCAGCAAAGCAATATGCAAGTCATCAATTTTCCTCGCATGGGTCATAGTTTATGGGCAAGAGTTTATAGCCAGCATCTTTCGGGTTTTGTGGCTTTCTGATTCTGGCAGAAGCAGTGAAATTCTGGGACTGGAAATTGTTCCCAGGAGCTTCACATAACATACCTTTCTATCCATACCAGCAATTTTGGAAATCACAGGACACATAATAATAGTTAACAGTTCTTGCTTAAACCAAAAAAACTAACCAATCAGTCAAATAGAATCATATTAAATGTAGTTTAAAAGGAAAGAAAAGAAAGAAGAGGAGATTATATTCCCCAAGTTCTGCAAGTAGGTGACAGTTTGAGAAAACTGCCTAACTACAGACATGTGCCGTCTGTGCGTGCTCAGTCACGTCTGACTTGTGACCCCATGGACTGCAGCCCACCAGGCTCCTCTGTCCGCGGGATTTTCCAGGCAAGAATCCTGGAGTGGGTTGCCATTTCCTCCTCCAGGGGGTCTTCCCCACCCAGGGAAGGAACCCATGTATCCTCTATTTTAAGGCAGATTTTTTTTTACCACTGAGCCACCTGGGAAACATGTGCTCCCCTTCATGAGAAAGGCAAGATGACTCTAGGGATGGATGTGAGGCTGGGGAGTGGTGCCTTGGACCACAGGGAGTGATTCCCCGGGCCCAGAGCATGGAGTTATGAGCCACAAAGGATTATTCCTGGGCCTTGAAAACTAATGGAGTTTGCCCGGTTTGATTTCAGAATCGGTTGGAACCAGTAAGTCCATTTTTTCCCTTCGTTTCTCTCATTTTGAATGGAAATGTCTTTGACTGTTTTGTTATGCCTGCCCCACAGTGTATGCTGAGAGCAGATACCTTGTTTTCTAGTTCTAGGTCCACAGATGGAGAATTTTATCTTAGCATGTTTGTACCCTAAGTTTCATCTAGACGTTTATTTAGATAGTTTGGGTGATGATATTTGTGACTTTTGAACTAATGATACTTAGATGAGATTTTTGGACCTGAGTTAATGCTATCATGAGATGAGGCTTTGGGGTGTTTGGAAGAGGGTGAATTTATTTTGCATTTCAGATGCGTTTTAAATACAATTGTCAAAAGAAAATTTAGAGAACTTTACTTGATATTAGGGAGACTTCAAACTGAAAGTGATTTGCAGCTCAGAGAGGCATGTTGTTATTAATACACGATGGCTTATACAGTGAGAATGAAGAAGTCGTTTAACTTAAACAATGATTGGTTATTAAAATGGGAATTTCCAGATGAAAGAGGACTTGGACTAAAGGTGTTGTACCACTTTAGGAAGGTGACTTCAATTTTATTTATGATTATCAGAGACACCAGGAAATATCTAAGTAGAGTTTCACTTATATTCACGAAATAAGCTAGATTACGTTTTGCTCACATGGCCTAACTGGTTTTGTCTGCTCAAGGGATTTTCAAGCCCAGTCTCTATTTCATCTTATTTTAACACAATGAATTGCTCACCTTCCCCTCACCCCCTAGTCCTACGCAAACCTTAGATTCATTGTATTTATGCGGCTGGGAATCAAACATAAAGAGAAAAAAATGTACCTTTAGGTGGTAACCCCCACTCCCTCCTCAAAACCACAAATGATTTCTCATCAGAAAAATGGGAACCAAAGGGCAATGGAATGACATCTTTAAAGAGATGCAAGAAAAATGGTCATTTCTACAATTCCATATTCAGTGAAAATATTGTTAAAATTAAGATAAAAATGTAGAAGTCTACTTTTAGAATACCTTTAAAAATGTTGACTATTTAAAATGAAAATGTAAGATGGAATTTGTAAGTAAGATGTTACAGTAAGAGCACCAATATGGGGCAGAAAATGGAATGATCCTGTTCAGTTTCTTACCAGTTACTTCAAAGCATGATAGCAGTGCTTGGTAGGCCATGAGAAGAATGCAACCACAAAGTATGAAACAAAAAATATATTTAAAAAGCTGATAGAAAAAAATGTTTACAAATCCAAAAAGGGGCTGATGAGGAGAAACTAAGAAACAAGATAACAGATGAATAAAATCCACATGGAAACATGGTACTCTAAATTGTCCAATCAGGATTAAGAAGAAAAAGTATAAGTTATATGCTCTTGATAAGAGTCATACCTTATATACGAGGAAATACAGATAGAAGTCAAAAGGAAGAACAATATGTGCCATGAAAATGTTAATCATAAAAAAGATAATGTGGACAAATTAAGATCAGATGTAGATGTCTGGCCCAGGGATATTACCAGCTATAAAAACGAACATTACTTAATGATAAGATGGTTAATCCATCAACAAGATATAACCATGCTAAATATATTTACTTGAATAACAGAGCTTCAGAATATAGGGAAATAAAAGAACTAGGATAAAACAAAAATTGTCAGAACTAAAGGGAGAGATTGACAATCGACAATCATAATTGCGGATTTTACCTACCTCTGTTAGGAATGGATAACACAAGTAGACAAAGATATATAATGATAGAGATTAGAACCATACTGTTAACTAACTTAATTAAACTGACTGCACTCAGCAGTTGCAGGATACACATTCTTTTCAAAGATGCTTGAGGCATCATAATAAAACATGCGTCATAAGCCAATCAGTGATAAAAATTATAACCCAGACTCAAAATCCTAAATCTGATAGTTAGCATCCATTCCCAATTTGGACAATAGTAGACACTTTTCATTCAAAAGGCGTAGAAGAGGCACAGAGGAGTCCCTGTGGTCGGTGGAGTCTGACCCTTTGCAGCCCCATGGACCGCCAGGCTCCTCGGTCTATGGGCTTTTCCAGGCAAGACTACTGGAGTGGACTGCCATTCCCTACTTCAGGGGATCTTCCCAACTGAGGGATGGAACCTGTCTCTCTTGTCTCCTCCATTGGCAGGCAGATGCTTTCTGGTGCCACATGGAAACATTCACAGCCATGGAGGCCAAGAGGAGGCAGTCGGCACCGCCCAGTCCGATGAAGAAGCCCATCTGAGTGGCCCAGCCCAGCAGGGTGATGGTCTTCTCTGCCTGCAGGGTGTTGGCCAGGAGGTGGGGCACCACTGCAGCTGTGTAGTCGATTTCTACTCCAGAGAGGCTGCCCAGGAAATAGTACATGGGCGTGTGGAGGCGGGCTTTGGCCTGGATGGCCACCATAATGAGGACGTTCCCGGTGATGACCCATATATAAACCAGGCTGGCCCCAAGGAAGGCCAAGGCGCACGGCTCTGACTGGGAGGGATAGGCAAGGAACATGAATTCCATCCACACTGAGTGGTTTCCCCAGGACGTTGAGTTAACAGATTTTCTCTGTTGAGAATTATTAATCCAAAGGAAGAATCAGACTAACAATACATCAGTTCATCCTCTGAGCCATGATGCAATCTAATTAAGACTGGAGTTAGAAACTAGAAGAATTAAGACATATTCTCTTTTCCCTCCCTTTTAAACAAGTTTCTTCACATAAATAGCCACAACTTCACTTCTAACTTCACTTCCAATGATGTCACTTCCCTGGTGGCTCAGATAGTTAAGCATCTGCCTACAATGCAGGAGACCCGGGCTCAATCCCTGGGCTGGGAAGATTCCCCTGGAGAAGGAAATGGTGACCTATTTCAGTATTCTTGCCTGGAGAATTCCATGGACAGAGGAGCCTGGTGGGCTATGGTCCATAGAGTCTCAGAGAGTCAGACATGACTAAGCGACTTCACTTTCTCACTTCTAACTGCCAAAAGTTGGTCTAAATTGTGTAAGAATTTTTTGAGGAAATGTGGCAGAGAATTTTGTGGAATTCAAAGCTATTTTCAGTAGATGTGGAATGAAAATTGAATTGCTTTAGTAAATTCACAAGAAAGTGTCAAGAAATTCTTGAGAGTCAGGGCTGTTGAGAACAGGAAGCATTTATTCATTCAAAGGTTTACACACAATGCCTCTTGAGGCATTGGCTTGGAAATACACGAATGTAACACTGAAAAACTAGTGATATGATGGAAGATGAAGGAAGAAAACCCAATGCCCATGGGCAAAGGGCTAACATAGGCCTAATGTTGACAGTGTCGGGCATAACCCTCAAAAGCCAAAGCTCTCCCAACTCCCAGGTGTTCTATCCATGTCCAATCAGGGAGTTTTATCACAGGGCTCCTCCTGGCTTGTGGTGCCATGGGAAAACATGTGATCATAAGCTGTCAGAGAACTGAGTGCCCCTCCTGTGTGTTTAGGGCTGAATCAGAAAGACCAAACCTGTTTCCATTTGCTTTTCCTCTCTCCTAAGAAGCTAAAGTAAAACCTAGGAAAAGCCATCTAGCTTCCTTGGAAACCTTCTAATGAAGAGTCCTAACTCTCAAAGGCCATTCCATCACTTTTCCAAGACCAGCTCATTCAAGAAGGTGGAAAAGGACTTCTTTGGTGGCCCAGTGGTGAAGAGGTCACTTGCTAATGCAGGGCACACGGGTTGATCCTGACGCTGGGAACGTCCCACGTGCTGTGGGCCAGCTAAGTCTGGGCACCACAGCTGCTGAAGCCACACACTGCAGCCACGGAAGCCCTGCGCCCTGGAGTCTGTGCTCCGCAACAAGAGAAGCATCACAATGGGAGGACCGTGCCCTGCAGCTAGAGGAGCACTCACTCCCCACGACGAGAGAAAAGCCCACACACAGCCACCAAAATAAATAAGTAATCTTAAAAAAGATGGAAAAGAGGCAACGTTCAACCTTAATTCAAATTTCCCTAGTTTAATATGCATTACTTTTATATGTATTAATTAATTAATATATTAATTAATAATTAAGTTATTACTATGTATTACTAGTTTAATATGTATGAGCTTTAAGGAGAAACCATATCCAGAAGCACCACTCTGATAAGTGCTATTCACATAAACCAGCTTAGGGTGATGAGAGATTGTCATAAATAAATGTCAGGAGCCCCTAGGGCATCAGTGACTCTGCTTTTCCAACAGTGAGCAAGCAGTGTCCATTTCATTCATCCTCTTTCTCTCTTCTGAACTTCATTAATGTTTTGAATGATTTCTAATGTTACCTAGCATATTCATCCCACTCCAGTACTCATGCCTGGGAAATCCCATGGATGGAGGGGCCTGGTAGGCTGCAGTCCATGAGGTCACGAAGAGTCGGACAAGACTGAGCGAGCTCACTTTCACTTTCCACTTTCATGCACTGGGGAAGGAAATGGCAACCCACTCCAGTGTTCTTGCCTGGAGAATCCCAGGGACGGGAGCCTGGTGGGCTGCTGTCTATGGGGTCCCACAGAGTCGGACACGACTGACGTGACTTAGCAGCAGCACATTCAACATCATATTATAACATGAGGAGGAGGAGGAGCAATGTGTGAGTGTGAAATTGTTTTGATTTTAAATGATGTGATTTGAGTGATTCCATCTCCTAGTTCTGTGATATTAGGCTTTATATAATGTCTTTGAGTCCCAGGTTTTTTATTTGAAAAATGGGGATAATAATTATGCTTAGTTCTTGAGATCTTAATGTAAAGTTTCTACCACCAAGATCAGTCAGTAGTAATAACAACCTCATAAAGGGTAACCATGATTATTATTTGTAAGTTTCAGGGCAGCCATTCTCCCTTATTTATACTTTTATCTCCCACATAAACCAAGCCTAATGTTGCACAAAGATTAGCCATTCAATAAATCTTTGTTGTAGGGATGAACATACTATGAAAACATGTCAGTTACCCTTGTTCCCATTTTATCTTTCACTTTCAAGATTATTTCATGATCAAAAGCTTTGTATAAGAGCCCTTTATGGAAAATAACTTGGTATCCAACATTTGAGTTGCACTCTGGAGAAAATTATGTCACTCAGAAAGATAATATGTAAAAGACTTCAGCAAAGATGTCTAAGGCTTGCCCACCATCTGTATTATGATACAGGGCTTTGGGATAATGATTTTTACTATAGTCAGTTACACTCATGTCATCTTAATGGTGCTCTCCAGGATGTGTAACAAAATATTTATATGATAGAGTTATCTACAGGTCATGAATTCTTAGTGCTGGAGAAGACCTCAGAATGTGTCTAGTTCAGTCCTTTGTTAGATACTTCAGTCTCCTATCTGTATCTGAACATCAGGTCACCTTCAAAGTTTAGAAACTCACATTTTCTCCTGACTCTCCTGTCCCACTGTTGGATGACCCGGTTCTCAAGCAGAAGTTTTGCCTTGTGATGGCTGAAGCCCGCACTTAGCTGCTCAGTCGTGTCCGACTCTTTGAGACCCATTGGACTGTCGCCCGCCGGGCTCCTCTGTCCGTGGGATTCTCCAGGCAAGAATACTGGAGTGGGTTGCCATTTCCTTCTCCAGGGCATCTTCCCAACCCAGGGATGGAACCCGCACCTCCTCCGTCTCCTGCACTGCAGGAGGATTCTCTACCTGCTAAGTCATCCTCGCCCAACTGAAGCCCCTCCGCCCTGTGCAACATCTACATATTCGTGCTGTTCTACACAATGGGGCCATTTCTACATGAAAGAGTCAAAGAGCTCTTATCTTAAATTTTCTTCCTACTTCCCTTTTTTCTGTTCCTCACATGGGCATGGTTTTGGTGTGTCTCACAATTTTAGCTCTGGAAATGCTCTTGTTTTAAATACCTTACTTAAAAGTGTATTGCGGGTGACAGATCACAGAAATGGTCAACTATAAGAAGATCTGGGTGTCAGCTATCTGTTCACTGGCAGTCTATTTCTTTAATTTACCAACAATTGAATTAATTCGTGTGTTTGATTTTTTCATGATGTCATCAGACTTGGACTGATATGTAATATCTGGATACTAATATCTGGATACTATCTCTTTGGATCCTAAAACTCTAAACATTTTTTTCCCCCTCAGAGAAGCAGAGCGTTGTCCATTATTCCTTTAACATTGATCCATAGCTTTAATCTGTTGAGATTGACATTTAAAAAAAATACTTCGATCTGTGACTCCACCTCTTTACCATCCTTCCTACAGTCAGTCACTCACATTTTTTAAAAATAGATTAATTGCCAAGCCCACATTCAATAATGATCAAAATGGCACAGTTGTGCCCAAATGGTTATATAGCTTAATGAGAGAGACGGGCACTGTTAAAGAATCTGGCATATACTTGCATAAATGTAGTATATATTTATATATATTATGACATACAGGCTTCCCAGGTGGCTCAGTGGTAAACGAATCCTGCCTGCCAGTGCAGGAGACACAAGAGACTCGGGTTTGATCCCTGGGTCGGGAAGATCCCCTGGAGAAGGAAATGGCAACCCACTTTGGTATTCTTGCCTGGAAAATCCCATGGATGGAGGAGACTAGTAGGCTATCGTTCATGGGGCCATAAAGAGTCAGATACGACTGAGCAACTTCACTTTCACTTTGGGAAAATCCCCTGGAGAAGGAATGGCAACCTACCCCAGTATTCTTGTCTGGAAAATTCCATCGACAGAGGAGCCTGGCCGGCTCTCGTTCATGGGGTTGGAAGCAGTGAGACATGGCTGAATACACATGCACCTGAGGACATATATGTACATATAGGTAATTAAAACTGTGACTAATGTTGTAAAAAAATTAGCATGTTAACAAGATTGTGCAACATGAGACTCTGGCATTGTGATTAAGAGTTTCTTCAAAGTCTTCCTAGGGGATGTAATATTTAATCTTAGATCCAAAAATATAGAAATTAGGCAGGTAAAGCAGTGAGGTTCATATTGTAGAGTGATGAGATAGTGAATTTAATGGTTCAAAGAGAGTGAAATGTGTTATATCAACATATTGTCAACTTGTTATTCCAGGTTGATACTAAATATATTGCATAAAGCAGAGGCAAGATAAGAGCACTTGGCATTATCCCCAGAAATCTACCCCAGGCTGGCATCTGTTCATTTAAGCCACACCCATCTAAGTGCCTCCAAGTCACATCCCATGTTACATTCTTGTTTCCTTCTTACTTCTCCAGCAAGACGAGTCCTTGTTGGCAAAAGTGTCATGAAAAACCTTGTCCATGTGCAGTCAGGAAATACAGAAACTATTTGCTAGACTGGCTTTCCAATTGTCTAGTTAGCATAATGAGAAAAAAGGTTGGTAGATTTAGCAAAACCAGACTCGCGGTAGAATCTCAATCTATTATTGTCACCTGGGCATATCATCTTACATTAATTTCTCTTCCTGCCTTTTTAAAAGATATAAATAATAATACTTACCTAATGGAGTTGTGATGAGATTATATGAGATAAAGTTTTTAGAACACTTGGTTTGATGTATGA